TAATCTTACTTCTTTTTTTATGATGTGATTGATCTACTGTACGACTCCTGGTTTTTCTAGTATATGAACATCAAATAACTTCCGAATACTTTACATCTAATATTATGGGTAATTCCGGCTTAATTTATTTTAGCCAATAAAAATCGAGGATCTGCCGCGCATTTTTTGTGCGGCAGCTAGGTTCAATCCGAATGTACCGAATGTGCCACATGTGCCGGTTGTAATATATGTCCCAGTTATAGCGTAAGGTACAGAGGAGGTATTAATGATATCAGTGGTATAAGGACTATAAGAGTTATTAGGGATATTCATCGCGGTTAAGGCATTTATAGTTCAAGGGCCATATGTGATTATTAGTAAAAGTTTTATTATATAAATGGGCGAGTTTCGCTCCACTTTGTAGGCATGTTTGCCAAGGCATTCAATAATATATACAAATTTTAATAAAGGACACTCTCTATTTCGATTCTACTCTATATCACGCATTCTTTCGTACTGCTAAATCACATAATTATACTAAACCCTCTCGCTACACATACTTACAACTATAGCATATCACTACACGGTTCTTGTGTCTCCGTGTTCACGTGACTCCCTGTTATTAGTTGAACCGTTAACCTCGTTTTGAGAGGTAACACACAGGTTAACACCCGTTACAGTAACACCAAAAGTTCTGGTGTTCCGATTCGGATTATAAAAATCGATCCAGATCCAAAGTTCCGGTTTGAAACCGAGTCTAATTAGCATTATTATTATAGAAATAAAATTTATATATACAATATCGGTATATTAATATCGTAAAAGAAAAATTGGAAATCAGGCTTAAACCGGGCCAATTCGAATCTTTTACCCCAAACCGATCCACAATTTAGATTAGATGATAATCCAAAATCGTCGGATCCGAGTCATTTGATTACAAATCAATGAACGTTAGTAATCGGATCAGAGTCAGTTACGTACAAAATTACAAATTACATAATTTGTAAGTTACATAATTAGTAACACATTATTGAAATTTATATATATATAAAGCAAAAAAGACTGCCATTCAAAATAAATCTAAAAATTAAAAAAGTTATTAAATAAGCAAATAATAATTAAATTCTCAATAAATTCTTAAAATGTCTTCCGATACAACATCACGATTGCCATGCTATTTTCTTTCTCATGGTGGTATGTGTTCATTATACTTAACTACTGTGATAACGAAAAAAAAAAATTACAGAAATATTTATAATTTCGATAATTTCAATCAATAAAACTTAAGGACCGACAACAGTACTTGATACTGAAAATGCTGAATATAAATTTCTTCAACAATGGGGAGATAAAGTTTTGAATGAAATCAAACCAAAAGCCATTGTCATTATTTCTGCCCATTGGGAAACTAATGGCGAGATTAAAGGTATGATGTAATATTATTTATTAATTTATTTTTTGCCTAAATAAAAATTTTTTTTTGAATTAACATAATATTGATTTTAGTCGGAAAGTTTGAAGGTGAAACACCGATTATTTACGACTTCGGTGGATTTGCAGAAGAACTATACAGGCAAAAATATCATAGCAAGGGTTCACCAGAATTAGCTGACAAAATTGTCAATATGTTAAAAAAGGTATTTATTATTTTTTTTTGGCAATGATAAATTTTTAAAAATTTTAATTTAACGATTACATAAAATTAATAATAGGAAAAATTTAAAGCTTCAGTTGATACGACTCGTGGACTCGATCATGGGGTTTGGGTACCTCTTAAAGTAGCAATTCCTGAGCCGAAAGATTTGCCTATAGTACAAGTGTCTCTTATACGCCACGCTTCATATGAAGATAATATTAGAGTTGGACGTGCTTTGGCACCCTTAAGGTATTAAAAAATTTCAATAATAATTTTATTAAGTTGTTTATAACATATACAGTAACAAATAATAATTACGATATTATGTTATTACGTACGTAAAAAATATAGAGACGAAGGAATTCTTATTATTGGTTCAGGTACGATGGTTCATAATTTGCGCGACACATTCAGACATTTTAATCGCGTAACAAATACATTTTCTGGAGAAGTACTCCCGTATACTATAACATTTGAAAGGGACCTTGATAAAATATTGTTGAACTCTAAAGGTGAAGAAAGAGAAAACCAATTAATTAAATTGATTGATCATCCAGTTTTGAGACAAGCACATCCAACCGATGATCATTTAGTTCCTATTCATATCGCAGCCGGTGCCGCAGGACAAGATCCTGGAAGGAAAATTTTTGAACAATTTACTACTGGAATGAGTTTAGGTTCAGTGGAATTTTGTGCTAGTGGATAAAATGTAAAATTTAGCACTATAACATTATGTTTTTCTTAACATTCAATCATTTTTCATTTATTATTTTATTCAAATTTTTTCAAGTCATATCTTTGATAGCAATTCATTAATTTTTGTAATCCATATGCAATAAACGTCATTAATTAATAATCGTCATTAATTAATAATCGTCATTAATTAATAATCGTCACATTAATTATAGTTAACCTGGCGTAATTATTAATTAATAAGAAATAAAAATAAAGACAAATTTGTTATAAAAGGATAGTTGCTAATGTAATAATTACATACAGTACAGGTAGTAGTAATAAATTAAATATGTAACATACGAGAAGAAGGAGGTTTGGCGCAAGTCGTATTCTAAATAAAGAAAAGCCTTCTTTTTTTATCCTATTGTCGTTAAACAAAATATACTAGTGTTTTGATCACAAATCAGTTGACCTTGAGCCAGATGTTCGGTACGTAACGTACAACTTACCGCGTATCGATTAATCCTTATGTATCCAATAAAGATTCAAGATCAGTTATAACGTGACTATTAAAACAAATATAAACCGAAAATATTGTAGTATAAATTTAAAAAAGATGGTAATCTTACTTCTTTTTTTATGATGTGATTGATCTACTGTACGACTCCTGGTTTTTCTAGTATATGAACATCAAATAGCTTCCGAATACTTTACATCTAATATTATGGATTTTTTTGGGTTAAAGATTTTTGACGTATTAGATTCCTATTACATTTAATAAAATTTCTTTGACTTTAATTAACGAATTTAATAATTAGGACAGTTCATATTTAGAAAATAAGTGGGAATACAAAATGACCTATTTCTGTTTTGAATAGAAAAAGAAATAGGAGTTATCCGAAGATAAAATGAGTAACCCTTTTTTTTTTGAAGATGTATTGTTATCATATGATACTATAGTTATAAATTAATAAAGAACTACAAATTATCCTTTTAAATTATTATTAATATTAGTAATATTACATATTTATTTTCGAATTATTAATATTTAATATGCATCCCAAAAAAACTTTTTAAACAAACCACTAAAAAAGAGGACTTGATAGTTTTCCACGAATAGCAAGATATCGATCTAATTCAATTGTTTGCAATAATTCCAACAGTTTATCGATTTCTTTTTCGTGAATATTAGCTATATTTTTATGAGTACTATTAGTATATTCTTTATTAATACTATTCATACGTAATTGTCGATCAGAAATTCGTATAAGGCATTTTAAAAATATATATGAAAAGATATCAAGTCTCGAAAGAAAATTCACGACTATAAAAAGTTATTGTATAAATAAGCTTAAAAATCAAAATAAATAAGATTTATGAACCACTGACTTCGAAATAAATACATCACTAATTTAATTCGAGATCAGAAAACAATGGGGTGATTCAGAATTAAGGTTCAGGTTTCATCAATACGACTTTAAAATACGCTAACGTACTAATATACTTAAACTTTGACAACTATCATTGATAATTACAATATTCACGTGTAAACAAACACTCGCAGCTAAACTGTATATTTTTCTTTGTTTTGTCTTCACGACGACAAAATTATCCAAGACTATCAAAGCGCCGACTAACCTAGATTAAGCTCTCATTTACTACTCAATTAAACTAAGTCATTTATTACCAAATCATTTATTTACATAATACATAACCTTTTTTTTTACGTCAACTAATTAATTTAATTATATAGATTTATGCAATAAATTAGATACATATGCAAATTCTAATTAGTTTAGAACAATTTTCATCAAAAATTTTTGCGGACATGTATCTTAAAAACTATAAGTAGTTCCGTTTACATCTTCTATTCAGATTTCGTTTCTAATAAGAGACGGTAGTAGCTGTAGCTGAATTTTATGTTATTAATTTCTATAAATACAGTCTTTCGTTATTTATGATATTTTCTTTGTTTATATCGTAAGAAACTTGTTTCAGACTTTAATATATATACCGAAGAAATTTTTAGAAACGCGCAAAGTTTTTATAAAGAGAACTACTACACGTTATTAAGCTTTACACTTTATACACGTAAGAAATCGTGTATTTTTTAATTTTATATGTACTGGCATTGATTAATTATCTCAAATAAATAACGTTTAAATTGTAATCACAATTTTTATTTAGATCTATCTTGTTTACTTTATTTTAAAAAAAAACCATAAGGATTATTGCTTAGTTTTCGTGGCGACACGTCTACCCAGTTCTAAAGAAAAAACTTTTTATGATGGATATGTCTATTAATGCAAGTGTCGTTCGTCACGGTGAAAATAAAGAAAATTATGACCCTTCTTCAAGTACTTTTTCACGAAATGGCACTGGTAGTGTTCTTCGCCCAACACAGAAAGTTAGACAAACTAGATCACAAATAAATGGTCGTCCACCACTATTAGAAATTCCTGTGAATAGTTTGAGAGGAAGAAATAATGAAATAGGAGAAGTATGATGAATTAAAATGTTTCACTTGGATGAAACATTAATAAAGAAAATTGTATTCAATTTTTTTATGTAATCTAATATTTTTATGAGATTAGAATGTGTCTGGTCGTAATGCTACAGCTACACCTCAAGTAATGAATAATCATAGTCTGACACAAGTTGGTTCTCATGTTACTCGTGTTAGAAATGAAACTATTAGACATCAACAAACTATTGAACTGAGAGGTGCTGGAAGGTCATCAATTAATCGTCGTACTACCCATACATCTAACAATGAAGATGTTCAACATAATTTCATCCAAAGAGGTACAATCAACTCTATCCTTACACCTAACAGTAATGATGTTCGATCTGATTTTAGACAAAGAGGCTCAATCGATTCAATTAATACTTCTCAACCAATTATCAATAATGATCGATCCGCTAATTTTCATCAAGATCTTCAAATTAATCAAATTAACGCTAATAGAAATGACTATTTATATAATTTTATCGGTAACGAACTATCTGATAC